ATAATGAAAAACTATTACAACCAAATATTACATCTTATTTCAACAAATAATTTTTAATTTCCGCATGTATTATTTATTATGTTATTAATTGTATTATTTATTTATTATTATTAAAAAATTTTTTGCCGATCATCACCAATTTTTCCACAGCGGATTTCTCGTCATAACGGATTTTTTTGGTTGGAACCATGAATCCGCTGTGGCGAGGTTTGACTGTAGTTTTCATTTTATGTAAACAAAAAAATATTGGTATCCTGCAGATCCATAGAAGTTTTAATATTAACCAAAAAAATTTTCTTAGCATTAAATAATAATAAAATAATTTCCCTTGTACAGTGATGATAATAAATAGGAATAATTGGCATTTTCTTAAGTCATAGTACTAGTAGCTATAGTAGTAGTAATATAATTATTGTAATTTATATTATCTTGTTAAAGGAAATAAGCCTTATTTTATAATTTTACAAATAGTTAAAATCCCTTAACAATAATATTAATAATAATATAAAATTTGTTGCATCAAAATGTGGATTAATATTTTATAAAACAAATAAAACGAATAATTCTAATAAAATAAAAATGAATACAAATAATTAGAATAATAATAATTAGAATAAAATGAATAATTCGAATAAACGAATGATTAGAATGATTAGAATAGAACAAATAATTTGAATAAATGGATAAAATGAATAATTAAAAATAAATAATTCAAATAATTCAAATAAAAATGAATAATTCAAATAAAATGGACAATTCAAATAAAACTAAAACGAATAATTCAGAGAATTTGGATTAATATTAATATTAAAAATGTGAAGCTGGAAAATGGCCTATTCATGCTAATACCCTTGTTGTGTAATTAATCAAATAAATCATTGGTTATTTAGCAAAATGATTTTCACACACTAGATGTAATAAAAGGTTGATCCAAGACCACAGATCTCAGCAATAGCATTGCATTAGTGTAATAATATCCTAGTAATGGTTGTGCGCGATGCAAATTTTATGCAAATCTGATGGAAATTCAATGACTGTGACCTTGCCATTAGTCATTTATCAGTCAGAAGTGAAATTGGATTGGTCAATTATTTATTATTTGTATTTCAAATTCAAGTATGTTTTAAGGATATATATAAATTACAAAATCAAGAAGATAAGTATGTTTTAAGAATTATTAAAATTCAGAGGTATATTTAAGTGTATAATTAGGATATCTAAATTCCTATTACTGTAAAAAATAAGAATGTTTTAATTGTAAAATTAGTATATTTTGCAAATAATTAGCAAATCATCTTTTTTGATTTAAGTATGTTTTATAAAAATTTAGAAAATAAGTAGGAATTAATATTATTATTATATATTGTTATTATTTTCAATTCTTTTTGCAAAATGAAAATAGTTATTATCATCCTTGTACCCATCTATATCTTCTACATTATTATACCCAATTTTCATTTCGAATTTACACAACAATATGATAATAATAACAATGTTTTCCATATTGTTGCATTTGTCAAATCTGTAATACTTTAAATGGAGTGGCCACAACAAAGAAGAGTTTGTGGATTTCCAATATAATGCTTTTAGTGTAAATGAATGATGTTGGCTTGAAGATATACAATTGAGCACTATCATGTTGTTTGTAGGAAAATATCCATTTCATGAATCTCATTTATACATGGGTGGCATTGTTTTTTTTTTTTTTGTCATTTGTTATTTGATGATTAAAAATGCCATCACTTTTGTCTTTCGAATTTCAGGTTACAATAATCAAATCAACCTTCCTTAATTTAATGGTTAAAAGCCAACAATAATGATGTTGACAAAGGATCTCCTCCACATAAAACACCATTTGGACTTCAAAGAAAATTTTATATTACCAAAATGAATTAGCCAATCACAGAAAAAAGTTTGGGTATATAAATTTTCAAGATTTCCATGCCAAGATCTATCAAAAATATTGCCATAAATATATAAAATATGAAACTTAAAAAAAAATTTTTTTTTTATTTACAGGAATAAATGACTATATTATTTTTGTATATATGGGATATGATAACATTTAAAAGCAATTTGTGAAAATTTGGATGGAATTATATCAATATTTCTAAAGATTAAAGAATGGTGGAGATGTTGAATTAGTTGAAAATCAAAAAAAAGAGATTCAGTATTGGAGGAAAGGTTATTATTATAATTATTATGTAATTTGTTTATGCTGTAAACACAAAAAAAAAGCAATGATGAAAATGATTTTAAAAAATGATATTCCAAAAGAATTAATGATTTAACATTAATTATTACCAATTGTTCCTTCTGAATTATCTTTTATAATTTTGATTTTGATTAAAAATATAAGTTTACAACTATTTGTTTGTTATTGAAATATATTTATATACTGATTTGGTTATTAGGATTAAAAGAAAGAGATTGTAAAATTACCTATTTGACCATTAATACAATCAGCAATTCCTGATGGTAATTTTATAATTTGAAATTTAAAAAAAAAAACAAAAATTTAATTAATATTCTCTATTTTTCAACCAGATATAGATCCAAATCTTGGAAGCTCTTGAAGATGATGAATTTGTTCAGATGACAAAGAAAATTATTTAATATTCAAAGAATTTGACAATGATGATGACAAAGATTATGATTTTGGAAGTGAAAATGAAAAAGAAGATTGGGAATTGGAATTTAAGATTTTTTTAAAAAAAACCAAACAAAAAATAGTGATGATGATGAGAAATCAAGAAAAACAGGAAGATAATAGTTTATTATTCATAATTATTTTTTTTTTGAAACTGATATTTATTTATTTCTCTTTTGGATATGTCAGACATAATTCTTTGATTTCAATTGCAAGCTTTGGAATAATAATATTTAAATTTTAATAATAAAAATAAATTGTTGTTATTCAACAGGTACATCAACAATGTCATTCATCAAATCCCACATCAATTTCTTCCATATTATTATTATATAACATCAATTACTTTGTTTAATTTATAATTAATGCAATCTTCTTGTTTTCAATTTTAAATATGATATTAATATGAAATTCTTTTTAAATATTAAGTTGTCAGATGAAACTTCCTTGTGTGGTTATATCTAATATGCATGATAAATTGGTTAAACTTAACATGTCCTTTGCACCAATTAATGGTCGGGAGCAAAGATGGATGATATCATTTGTTATTATGATCATTCGCAAGTAGAAGTCGCATTTTACTATTAAATAACTTCATGAGTTATTATTAATGTTAATAAAATTGTTGAAAAAATAGATTATTTAATATTAGTTAATTTTATTTATTCAAATAAGTTTGCTATAAATATATTGGTTTACCAACTATCGAAGATCAATGTCAAATTTGGGAGGGGGGTATACTTTGTCATGAGTAAAGTGGATAAAGTGGTAAGTTTTTTCAAAAAATAAAAAAAAAATTTACTATTGATTTTTATATTATTTTTTTAGTATGTACCCTTCTCCTCAACATATTACTTTTATTAAAGGCCAAACAATTAATTCTGTTCTCTCTGAAAAACAAAACATTTCAACATTTATTGAAATTTCCGTTACTGCAACAATAGAAGAAGTATTTGATGTATTACTTGCTGAAAATATTATAAGTGTATCTGTTTATAGACTTTGGAGAGGCCATAAACAACCAATTGCGATTGTTAATGTTTTTGATTTAGTTTCTTTTGTTTGTTTGCAGGTAAGAATACAAATACATACTTATATATATATACATATATATATGCTATTATTTATTTTATAATTCTTTTATTTTTAAAGCCAATTTTTGACAATGATGAAGTTTTAAGTAATGACAATAATTCTTACTTTTTACAAAAACCAATTGGTGAACTCATTGGATTAACGCCAGAGAGCACAAATCTGACTGTATGCCATACAGAAGATCCACTTGTTAATCTATTAGATTTGTTTACACGTAAACAAATTCATCGTGTTTTGGTGTCCACTCAACATCTAATCGAAGACCCAGATATTGGCAAAGTCATTAATGAGGAAGAGGTGCAACCATGTTTTGTATCTCAAACTGATGTAATAAGATTCCTATTCAATCATAATCATCAATTAGGCAAGATTTTAGATACCCCTGCGTCAAACATTGCTAATAAAGCAACTAAATTATTTTCACCTTCAACTTCAACAACAACAATTACTGCAACTTCAACAACACTAGAAACGCATAATCAAGAATTATTATTGGAACTCTCATCCA